TCCCGGCACTCACTGGGTAGCGTACGCGAAGAGGGGAAACCGTGTGATATATTTCGATAGTTTTGGTAATCTCCGACCGCCTAAAGAACTGGTGTGGTATTTCGGGGATGGTGTGACGATAGGGTACAATCGAACGTCTCATCAGACCTACGATCAGAGCATCTGCGGACAGTTGAGTCTACGGTTTCTCCAAACGGTTGACGACAGATTCACACAAATTTAAAGTCTGGCGAGACGTCGCGAGGATTCAGTACACGCTAAGCGGTATTTCATCCACCATGTCGCTGACACTCACGCTGACCGGGAGGAGTGGAGTCCTCGCAGTAAACTACTTCCCAGCGATAGACCTGAGCGATGGCGATTACGAGCTCGGTTTAATGAATTTTTCGACTTACAACACGATATCGAACGTGAATGCCTCGAATAATAAATTTTACTGGCAATTGGATACTGGATTTGACAAAGATGACACGAAAATTACGATTCCCGAAGGATCCTACGAACTGCAAGCGATAAATGAGTTTTTGAAGCGTGCACTTTCACGGAAACTATTAGCTATGAACCGTCTACGTCGGTTCATAGCTAATGACGACGGTGAAAAACGCAGCGACGACGATGGCGATGACGATGAATACCCGATTGTGCTGCGCGCTAATTACAACACGATGAGGAGCGAGATCAAATGCGCCTTCGGAATAAACTTTAGCAAGCCCAACAACATTGGATCGCTTCTGGGATTCTCATCGACGTGTATACTGCAACCGCGAAAGTGGTATGAATCAGACCTGCCGATCAACATTACCAACGTGAACATTATCCGCGTAGAGTGCAACGTGACCGCGGGTGCGTACAGCAACAGCAAGCCCGTACACACGATACATGAATTTTCACCGAACGTGCCACCGGGATATAAGATATCGGAAACGCCGACGCAGATCATTTACTTGCCAGTCATCGCCCGGAGCATTACTGATTTAACGATACGCGTTGCGGACCAGAACGGTCGATTGCTCGACTTTCGCGGAGAAGAGATCACCGTCAGATTGCACATACGTCGGAGACGACGATAACGCGTGCGAGTGTACATGAGATGCTCGTACTGAACGGATCGGAGCAGATCGTGAGACCAGTGGCGTCACCTTTCGATAATATCAAGTCGTCCGATTGCAGTAGGAAAAAGAAGCTCAGCGCGGCGAACGTGAAATTTTTAAAATCATTGGGATTCGCGGTGCGCAAACAATGATTGACATCCTCAACATCGGGGAGGAGCCAGTCTTCGACGATCGCATCGTCAAGATTGAAACTCACTCGTACAATCCGTTTGCCAACACGTCATTTGGACACAGCGATGAGATAAGAATACCTATACAACAACAGGATCTCTATACGTTGCCGCATGAAAGTTTCCTGTACATTGAGGGAAAACTAACTACTGCCAAACAAGTCCCTGAGTTTGATGTCGTACTGGGAAATAATTGCGTCGCGTTCATGTTCGATGAGATCCGATATGAACTTGACGGCGTGGAGATTGATCGTACCAGAAACGTTGGAATAACCAGCACGCTCAAAAACTACGTTTCGGCATCAGTCGATAAAATGGCGACTCTGAAGAATGCTGGCTGGGATGTGGCATTCAATGGGAAGGGAGATTTCAATTTTTGCGTACCGCTCAACATGCTATTGGGATTCTGTGAAGATTACAAACGCGTGGTAATTAACGCTCGTCACGAATTGATTTGAATACGATCGCGCAACGACACCAATTGCCTGTTTGGAGCTGTGACACTGGAGCCACAGCTTGAAATATTCAAGATACAGTGGCGAATGCCGCATGTGTTGTTAAACGAGGTGAACAAGCTATCGATGCTGCGTACTTTGGAAAGTGGACGATACCTCAATATGTGTTTTCGTTCATGGATCTCTATGAGTTTCCGCTATTGCAGCAGACGACTAAACATTCGTGGGCTATTAAAACAGCTACTCAGCTCGAGAAGCCGCGATATGTTATCTTCGTTCTGCAAACAGGTCGGGAGAATATAATGT